TTATTTGTCACACAAAAATATATTAATTTGATATTAAGTGTGAATTTACAACTCCAAACTGAATTGTGTGTGCTAAGTAGAACGTTTGTATGCTTTTGAGAAACATCCAAGCATAACTTCAGGAAAATGAACTAAGTTAGATGCAGAATCTCAAGCTCAAAGAAAAGCAAACTTCTAATTCTGTTTCAAACTTAAGAAATTTGACTTTGAAATACTTACAAAGATTCAAGTCAGTGAAGTAATGAGCTTGACAAGATGTTCTGAGTGGCATTCTTGTAGTAAAAAGGGCAGAACATCACGGGAATGTGGCACACAGTCAGGCAACCTTCCACAGTAAATTGTTAGATATCGAGCAGACTGTGCGTCAGGATTGTTGCACAACAATCAGAGAAACTGTTGACATTCTTTACTTTTCATTAAGAGCAGTTCTCACAATAAATTTGAAAGTCACCACATTGTTGCCAAGTGTGTGTCACAATTGAAAAGGCACTACATCCAAGACAACCTTCACTGGTGATGAGAGGTGGAGGTAGAGCTACGTGCCAAAACCAAACAAAGGCAAAGTTGAAGGGTCTGTAACTTGAGACTAAAGAAAGCACATCAGCTAGAAATGCAAACAAGCCTCGTTATGCGATGAATGAATATCCAGGTGGATCTCCCATCAGAGGGTGTTAAAAACGCTTACTGCAGTGGGGACAAAATCTTCCAGTGTAGTCAGCCTGTGGTTAGGGACCAGTCCAGCTTGTCATCCAGTAGGACCTCCAGATATTTATGAGTTCACCACCTCAGTGTCCTGGCTATATACGGAGACTGGCAGATAGTCAGAAGATCTAGGCTATCCTATCTTCTTGGTTTTGCAGTACTGAGATGGAGGCAACTCCTACTGCACCAATTCTGAATGCCTCAACAAGAACACCTTTGCTCTTGTTGCTCGTCTTCTGATCACATAATAGTGAAGCTCAATAAGTCTACACAGGAGTCAGGTATTTTTCCACAAAGCACAGCAGACAACATTCCCGGTAGCATCTCAATATTTCTCAACAGTGCCACCAAATCATCAAGGTTGTCTACTAGTGAGTTGACATTTCCCCATCAGAAGCGACAGCAGAAACAGCTTACACTTCCACCTGCTAGCCTTTAGTTTAGCTTAGCTCCTGCTCTGTAACCTTGGGAGGGCTTCCTGAACTCCGGTGGCATCTGGTATCTGACTCCAGTTTGCAAAGCCACAAGACTGTCCTTTGTGTGCAGTACTGGGATTTGCCCCCACTTGGTACACTGCATGATCTAATCTTTATATTATTGCCTATCAGTGGCAACCATAGCTTAGACCAGTGTTTCCCAACCTTTTGGAGCCATGCCACATATTTCACATTAGAAAAATCACACGGCATACCACCAGACAAAAATGTCACAAAAAGCATATTGATAATTTTTTGCTTTCTTCTGACCACTATTCATGCTAGAGCCTTAATCTGAGTCAGATTAAGGCTCTAGCAGATCTGGGTCAATGTGAGACCCATGTCACATTGACTACTTTTTCTTTTCAAATATTTATCTATTCCTATTACGCACTGCATCGCCTCACAGTATGACTATTATGTAATTTCTTCTTCGTCTTCTTCTGTTTTACTGGAAGTTGGCAACCCATTTAATTAGAGCAGGTAGTTGTACTGCCCTCTACTGGAAATAGAATGTAATTGTTCTGCCCATTACTCACGCCGGGAACCAGATAATCTTCCCCGGCACACCTATGTGCTGCAGCACAGTGGGTGGGAAACACTGGCTTAGGCAGGCCGAGAGAAATTTCACTATTTAACAGACGGCTTTCCATTTAAATCACAAATTATACTTCATATAAGAAATGTATAAACCCTTACTGAAGAGTTGTAATGGCAGTCATTACTACACCCTTCAACACTTTGCGTGTACAGAGTGATACTTGCATCAAATTATATTTCATATAAGAATGTAAAACAAACAAACTTACGGAGCAGTTGTCATGACAATTAGTATGGCTACATCACTCAGAAGTTTGTATGCAGAGAGTGTACAGTTCATCCCACTTTAAAACTGACAAAGTAATTGAAAAAAGTGATAAAAGCAAGGTACACAAGCAAAGAGTTTGTGCAAGTCAGAAATGAGTTTCTTTCTTCTTTTTTTCAAACTGAGATGAGATTACGAACATAAAAGAATAAACTGATTTTGAGAGTTTTATTTTCTCAGAAGTTTGGAAGCTGCAATACATGTTTGATCTCTCCTTAATCTGTCTTGATCTTCTCTTCTTTGTCTTGTTTTTGTCTCCTTTAGTGCCGGTACAAAGTATAGCTGTACAGTATAAATCTTTTCATTGCTTTCCTAGTTTTTCTAGAATAACACTTTAGATATGAATTATCTTTTGAATCCCCTTTGACATGTGTTGTAGAAAGTCTTCATTATTATGCCAGCGGACTTTATAAATTCAAAGTATTCATTTTCTGATACAAGTAGAGTTGTCTTGATATATTGTAATTCATCTCTTGCCTTTCCTACGTGCTATTTCATGTAATAGCAAATAAGCTTAAAGTACTGTGATTAATTCCTTTTCTACCCAATATTTAAATCATCTTCGGTGACTCTTTCTGCTTTTCAAAAACTGTAAGCTACATGGTGTAATATAAGACTCATTTGTGAAGAAATGTTTTTTCTGTAATTTCCCTTGAGGATCATGTTGCATAATGTATACTGCAGGCTGGATAAAAAAGTCTGAAAACCTGTTGTTTATCCAAGGTAATTTCTGTATGAATTTTGCCTGGTGAAGTTCTTATTCACAAAGTTGTGCACAAATGAAGTAAGCTCAAGTGATGGACAGTGTGTGGGATTTTCAGCTATCAAAAGTCAACCACAATAAATCAAAATGTTTTTTCCCTTCGCTAATGAACACAGAAAAATCCACGGGAGGAATTGTATTTAACAACTGGAAGGATTGTAGTGGTCAGAAGTTTACATAAACCCATCATGGCCATGAGTGTAACAGTGATTTGAAGCTTTTAATGACTTCCTTGAACTGTTCTTTTTCCCAGCTGCAGAGTGATTGTACACTTTAATGACTTTAAAAACAAAAATTTGATATTGAAGTTATAATTTATTATCTATTTCCTCTAATCTGGATTACTTCTGGGTTGTACTGATACATAAGGTATCTTTTTTCCTTTATCAGCCAGTATATCCGTGATGTACTGATCAGCCATATCACTCACTGTATTTCTATGGCTGCCCCTCCTTGACCTTCATAATGCCTGCGCTCTTTTCCTGTTAAATGGCTGTTCTTGGTTCCCACCACACCCAAGGGCTTGCATATATTACAGTGTCTTTACATTACAATATAAAGCAAACGAGCTAAACTGGTGCTAGAAAAATTAAACTGAAATGATTAATATCCAACATCTCACATTTATTTTTACACAAATCTTTACACAACAAAGGCACAGAAACATGTACATCATCTATGCTTTCAGTGTTTGCCGCAGTGGTGTGGTAATAAAGAAGCAGTACAGAGAAGTAGTAGAACAAGATAACAGGACTCATAACTACTCTTTTAAAACTCCACCATTGTGCAGGCACAAAAACCCTGAAACAGCTTTCCCATGTAATTTTTTTTTTAACCCAAATTAGAGTTCAACGATTTTTCCATTGTGTGGTCATGCTGTCTTCCATGTTATCAGAGCCACTACTGTTGGTAAGATAGAGAGCGAGACACACTTGGGGACTTCTTCCCCACTTCCCCAAGAGGAGAACCTCATTCAGACTTACGTCCTATGAATTACTGACTTGCAGTTCTGCTAATTTCATTCAGCCCATTTAATTTTTTCCCAGGCACATCGTCTTCCTCACACTGACTGGCAAAACAAAAAGGTGGGAGATGTAGCAGCAACTCTGAAAACGTACATTTCCATCGAGCTTTAAAGTCCAAGCAACAAGCAAAAAAACCCCTAATTTAGTTTTTTTTTTCCTTTTGACAATTTCTTTCACTTATCAAATTCCAGACTAACGGGAAGGCTGAAGCCTATCCAAGCTGTCACAGGGCAAGAGGTGGGGTACATGCTGGACAGGTCACCAGTCTGTCTCAGGCAGAACACAGAGAGAACAATAATTTACACTCATGTTCAAAGACTAGAGAGCTGCAAGCAACAACTTAAAGTCCTGAGTTGAAATTCTCAGCTGTATGCGGAGAGGCTATGATGAAACTATCATGAGACAGATAAAATTTTATATGAATAACCAATATGAATCTAGTAATACTTTTAACACCGATTATAAACATTTATAGGATAATAAGCTGAATATCAGTTCTTGGAAAGTCATGGAAAATCACTGGTGAGGGAAAGCATACCTGTACAAAAAGTATGACCCATAATAACACATTATGGAAACAGGTGAACTTTATGCAGAGTCTGAGATGAGTGTGTCATTTCACCTCATCAAAATTCCAACAAGCTGCAGTATTTACACTAACAAACCAGAACTACTTCACAGGCATCATTCAACTAGAAAGCACATCAAACAACTCCAACCTCACATCAAATTCTGTTTGATATTTCATGTCTCACATTTATCATTTATGTTTCCTTTATTTTGTCCATCCCATTCAAATCAATAAAAGCAGGCTGTATAACAGAAACACCTCCCTGCATAATGCAATACAACAGCACAAGCTGCAGCTGCCAAAATGATCTTACTGTTGAAACAACACCTTCTACATCAAATCAGCGCTTTCATGAAGAGAGAATCCATTTTAGATAAGTGAACACCGTCACATAAATATCGAACAGATGGATACTCGGGACATGACACAGCCATCAGATGCCTTTATCATTAGCGACATTCCCAAATATGTTTTTTCCTTTACATGAATTCTCCTTTTTCTAATGATAAAAAGCTATTCCCAGTAAAGCCCTGTGTCATTATTGCAAATGCTTGAAAATTATGCCAAAATGTATCAAAATGAAGAGAATCACTGTTACCGTGACAATGAGGAGGATTCCTTTCAGGAGGGTGAGCACTGAAGTGATTGGCTGAATAACTGTGTGGGCCAGTAAAATAGCAAGAGTCAGGGTCCAGGTGAAGACTGGGATCACATAGATGTGGCTGTGGAGAGAAAAAAAACCCATAACACACATAATTAAACTCTATGCTATAAAAATCTGCACAATTTGACTGTTGACTAAACACAAGCGCTCTGCATTGATAGATAATCAAGATGCAAGTAAAGAAGTTTTTGTGCCAGTGAAAGCGATGTGAAAAAATTGTCCGTGGTAACATTTCTGCCCTTGTCTAGGAAAAACTTCTTAGACGGAAAACCACCATCCTCGGCACAGTCAACAGGATTCGCAGGGAAATTCCTCAATCCACTAGACAGACAGATCGCAATGAATTCACCACTCAGGTATGTTGCAGGTCTTTTGTGGTTCTATGTTTATGTGTTTCATTGTGTGTAAAAGGGCTATGGAAAAAACAATTTATCTTATTTCTTAGGTGTTTTCAACTTCTGCTGCCACGCTGACGGCGTATGCGGCCAAACGGAAGAAGACAGTCTATATTCTTAGCAGCATGCACAGCGTGGTTCAGACTGATAACACACCAAAAGGAAGCCAAACACTGTCTCCCTTTACAACAAAACAAAGTGTGGCGTGGATGTGATGGACCAGATGGTTCGGGAGTACACTGTCCGCAAAGGAACACGGCGCTGGCCAGTCGCCGTGTTTTATAACATGATTGACATGGCAGCACTGAATGCACATGTGCTGTATCAAGCATGCACCGGGACGAAGGAAAGACGGGTGGACTTCCTGGTGGCGCTTGCAACAGAGTTGGCTCACTCTCATGTAGCTGCGAAGAAGGCAAGAAAAGATCAGTTGCTTCGGGCAGAACCCTCCACACCTAGCCCTGGAAAAAGAGCCACGTGTCAGGTCAAACACAAATGCAAGAAAAATCAGGCCACTGTGCGATGTGTTCACTGCAAAAGATACACATGTGGTAAATGCAGACTACAGGTACCATGGCAGTGCCAGGATTGTGAGTGATTGCTGACAATGTTGAATTATTTGTAAATATGTATACAAATGGTTGGTTTTTTGTACTGTTTTTATCAATAAATGTCAGCAACAAAGGACATACACCCATGTGTGTTGATTTCTCCCCAAGATGGCAAACTGAAACACTCCACTCCCCCACCCCCACTCCCCTCCCTCCAGAATTCCTACTTAACAGCCTAATATACATATGAATGACTAGCCAATTTAGCTTCCACTTCCACCATTTGACTGCTCTCCGGGTTTTATAGGTAGAAAGGTAGAAGCCTGGGGATGCTAGTGTCAATTAACAGTCATCCTCCAAAACAAACACCTGTTTGCTGCTTATTAACAATGAAAACATCTGGAGTTTTAGCAACTACTGTTGACTGAGGGAAAACACCTCCTGGATATTCACTGTCACAGCCAAAGTAACCAAACATACAGTAAGTCAACAATTTTGTAAAACGTCCAAACAAATAATTGAAGTTCATGCATTATTATACTTAAAACTGCTCTTAGCTACTTCACTGAAACAGACATTTTTTCCAGTAGATGCAACTTAATACTACTATTAATCCACCACTGCATACACAGAGCACAAAATACATTTTATAGTAAACTTTATGCAGTGCTTAAAGTTACTACTTAAGCTCTAGATTAAATATTCAATACAAACGCATCATATTTATAATATAAAATAATTATACGCAAAATGACCATATAATGATTGTTTTTTTAAAATATTATTTAAAAAATGTGTTGCAGCACATAAAGCTGCTATAAAGGACAAAGACTTATGCAACAGTGCAAGAATACAACAATAAACCTCTTTCGTTCTCAAAACAGGATATCAAATACTGCTGTCAGAAGCTGGTTGCCTTTTAGACAAGGACCTTCAGCCTACCTACTATCTATGTAGAGGACAGTACCTTAAGATAAGGTACTAAAGTACCTTCATGAATTTGACCTGATGTAAAGATGACTAGTAATACAATTAATGAGAGCAAATGGTTTAAAAGTGGGGATCTTCCAGGCAACTAGATAGCTAACAAGTATAAAAGTACTCAGAAAACAGCAAAAACTGCTCTGCATACAATTTAAAGTCCTGTAGTTTGTTTTTCTTTGTTTTCAGTGAATACATTTTACTAAATGTTGGATTAGTTTTATGCAACAAACTTACTTTGCTAGGCTTTAATCAGCCCCTTCACAACAACAACAACCATGTACACCGAAAAGAAACAGCAGTTAACTGTACAATACAGCATTATATTTAAAACTGTATCCTGTACTGTAGACTTAGGTCTGTTTGCATGTTGTGCAGTCACAGTTTTCATTTCAATTCAATTCAGTTTTATTTACCAAGTGCCAAATCTCAACAACAGTGACCCCCAAGGAGCTTTACGCTGTAAGGTAAAGACCCTACAATAATGGAGAGAAAACCCCAGATATCAGGCACGCCTCGTTGGACAAAAGACACACTGTGGAAGAGAGCCAAAGAATAACAACTAAGGTTTAAATGCAAAGTAGCGTTAAAGAGTGAAAAAAAGGTGAGAGAAGAAACGCTCAGTGCATCATGGGAAGCCCCCAGCAGCCTAAGCCTATTGCAGCATAACTAAGCAACGGTTCAGGGTCACCTGATCAAGCTCTAAATATATGCTTTGTCAAAAAGCAACGTTTTAAGCCAGTGGAAGAAAGGGCAGCAGTGCTTGCCTTATCAAATCTAAGAATAAGCATAAATTAAAACTTTTTCCGACAGAGCTGTCATAAAGCTCAGCCACTCAGACGCCAGCAGCTCAGTTACGACCTGCCCTCCCTATGAAAACACAGCTGGCATTAGCAAGTAAATAACCCTCAGTGATTTAACCTCGCAACAGAAGAGTTTGGTCTTGCTAAGCATGACTAACATGTGTGATGTAGATAAGATGGAGTTTGAAAAAGCTGTTAATAACTCCCTTAAGGCATTAACAAGGAATGCTGTGACGATGATGGAGATGAAGGCAGCTCTGACCATATCCATAAAAATGGTAAGTGGAGCAGGTGCAGGCTCAGCAGTACTTTCAGACTAACATCTATGAGAATGACTGAATGTCATAAGCTTAACTACCTGTTTTGCCAACAGCCCACCTTCATTTTTCATTCATATTTTAATCCCCTCGGTGGATATTGACAGTTAACCATGTCACACTCTGCACAAGCCTTTTAATTCAGCTGATTTTTTTCTAAATGAATATTTAATATACCAAGACGTATGCCTGTATTTCTAAGCTCATGAACAGTTTTTTCTTCATAGATATGTGGTTCTCACAGGACAGCCAATACAAACGAGTGATCTCTAGAATACGACACTGAACATTAAACAGTATTTAAAATGAGCTCAACCTTAAACATATGCAGTAGTAATATACATCCGTTTAGCAGTGCTAGAGAACATTTTTCTGCAGAACAATTATTTTTACTTTCAATATTTTAAGCACAATTTCTTAATAATACAGTTTATGTGTAGTGAGGTGTTTTCAGAGTCTTATTGCACAGAGGGGTAATGCCTCCATGAAGCAAAATGAAATAGCCTATCAGGTTTGGTCAGTATGCTTATTGTAAAAGTAACTGTTGCTACAGAATTTTCAGCTTCAAGTGCAACATGATCAGTTCAGCCTCATTTGTGACAGCAGAGCAACGCAGAGAGGCCTGTGCTACGAAGCAGGATTTTGGCTCATCCAGGTAACTTTAAGGTTAACCCTGGGTTTTCTGTACTACAAAGGTAGTTCACGACTTATCAGGGTAAATCGCCATGGCACATGCTGTAGCCCTAACCTGCTCCTGAGTAGGTTAAGTTCAAGATTACAGATCAGCACGTGTGAACCCCCCCCTCCCACTCAGCAATCAATTCTCCAGAAAATAGCATCAACATTCCTGGAGGATCCCTCGGAGGATTAGGGAGAGTAGGAGGATGTAAAGTTTTTCAGTTGTGTCTGAAACCTTTGTGCTTCCCTGATGAGCGTCATTAATACATATAGATTCTTAGACACAACTTTATTATTTGATTTTTTTTTTTCCAGTTGTGGCTTAAGCTGATTGGATAAATGATGTATGTGGAGGTTTCATGAGTCGCACAGATGACATAGTAAGAGAAAAGTTTTGGGGGGGATTGTTTTTTGTTCTTTTTCTTTGTTTCTTAAATTCCCACTTAAGTGTTTGTCCAATCAGTCAATCGGAATACTGTAGCTGTAATCTGACTATGACGTTCTGCAGCATTTTTATTTTTGGAATATAAAATAAAAAAATGATATACGTTTTTGTATGACTAGGGGAAAAAATGTAGAAACCTAAAATGACTTAACACTCTTTATTACAATCTTCTATATAATAAAGATATATGCAGTAAAAAGGTTGTTGTATTTGTCCATCAGTTTCCACAGAGGCTTCCCTAATGTGGTTTTAAAGTATCAACTGGAGCAAATGGATATTTTAAATAAAATATTAACAGTAAGATAAAAAATATATTTAAAATTAGTTCATTTTGCCAACTGTATGAATTATGAGGAACAAGACTATTAAGATTTAAGTTCAACAGACATAAGGATGAGCTTTTGCTCCTCTTAATTAAACGCTTGCAATTTAAACTGTATTTATTGGTTAAACATAGCTCAAAGCCTGTAATGATTCCAACTAGATAGAAAATTAATATTTTCTTTATCTAAAGTGCTAAAATATAATCTGGCCATTGGTTTGAGAGTGAGGTGCTGATGCGCAATTCCTGTAGAGCTCAGTGAGATTCACTCTCTGGGATTCGTGTCCGCTATCCTACAGCAGTATTGACGAGAGTTTTTACACAGAGATCTGCAGTAACCTATTGAATGGGGAGAGGGAATATGGTAGTTTATCCAAAGGAGGTCTCCTAAGGTGTTTTCACTCCAGTAACCCTGTCTCCCCACAACACATCGCAGAATCCCCCCCGGCACCGAGCGGCCCGATAATGAAGCCCCCAGGTGTGCCGACGAAGCAGTCCAACCATCCTGTAGAGTGTGAATAATATTATTTGGGTTAAGTATTTACTGGGGCATGACAAAATAAATTAGCTCCGTTAACTGATAAGGGTAATTATAGGCTTGGGAAAGGAAAGGAGAGGGAGGCGCGAGGTCGAGACAACGATTACTTGAAGAGCTGGTTGGAGTTGCTGCAACGATTTTTGCTGCTTCAAGTTTAGTTTAAACAAAGTTGCTTTATTTAATACTTCACATTATCTGACAGTTCTAACAAGTAGTACACTAAGTTGAATTACTAACAATCATTTTTTTAATAAGGCTAACCTCTGACGCGGCCAAAGTGGATTTTAAACTCCTCCAGCGCTTCCCCACCTAATGGCACATCTTACCGTGTGTTTGGGGGGGGATTGTAAACAGTTTAAAAAGCTGTTTACAGTCTGCTTTACTCCAGTGACCGTGAGGACTTCACTGAAGGACTTCAGTGAGGACTTCACTGAAGTGGCATGTGCAGTGAGCCTCTAACTCAGACTAAAATGTCTGTAGACTGCAGCAAGGCAGCAAAGAATACAGGGTATGTAAACACAACTCTGGGGTTATGGTGTTGCATTCCTGTTTGTTTCAGCAGGTCCACTGAAAACAAAGACTTAAGAAAAGATGGTCTAAAGCAATCTTAATAACATTACAATAATTTACAATGTGTTTCCTAAGTGGGTGTGGTTGAAAGCTTTATGGACACTGTTCATCTGGCTGACCATGTTGTACTTGTTTGGTTATGGATGGATATGAGGACTTACAAGTAGGAATTACTATTAGACTGCTACATTATTACAGATATTTCATCTCCATATAGGTAAAGCTTTGAAACCAGGATGCGACATCTGAGATTTTGCTGATAAAACAGAATGCTGCTCTGCAGCCCCAAATTAAGAAGTCTCAAGCTGCGTACATACTGAAGGAGATTTGCTCCAATGTGACAACCACAGATCATAAAAAGTGAATGATATGTGGTGCCTTTAAGTGACTTTGGGCGAAATAACTGCTGGCAAAGTGGGCAGGACCCGCAATCAACTTTCACGTGACAGTTAGAGTGAAGAATAGATCGTGATTTCAAAAGAAAGCTGCAGGAAGAAAAATCTATGTGTATCAGAAAGATGCATTTTTCCAGCATTTATCATGCTACTGCAGCATGAAAGCGGCACCTAAATATGCATAAATTTCAAACTTGGCAAGACAAGTCCAGAATAGCTCGTAATGATCTAGGTGAGATTATGTCAACTTCAAGAGAGACACCTAAACCTGACATATTTAGAAATACTGAAACATGTTATCCATTTAGCTTTCACTAGCATAAATTACTTTGAGACTATACTGAATAATCTACAACAGAAAATAAATCCTTAATGCCTGATAATGGGATGTTTTCCCTCTCATCTCTGCAGTGTGTGCAGCCTGTACGTGTTTGTTTGCTTTGATTAAAAGCAATGCTGTAACTTCATGCAATCCTTTCAGGGCCTCCCTCTCCTGTGGTCAGCTCTCGGGGTTGCATCAGTGTTTCTTTCCCCTTTTAAATCAATATCAAATAAAAATATTTTTGTGTGAACTCATGTCACCCTAACAACACAACCCTGAAGTGACAATTCGCTTTCAATTTTGTGCTAACTGAGAAGGGGGAACGGGGAGCCAGACTGATGTGCAAAATTTCTGGCAGCCCTGCATGACGTTTGGCTTTCTTTGCACATTATTTATTTTTTCAGTGACATTTTTCCCTGCTGTTAATTGTGTTTGAATGGCACTCTCTCTGAGCTGGAACCCCTTAAAGAATTTAAGTAATTTATATGTAGAAGGAACCCAAGCTTAGAATTAAAGCAACTCATATGTCAGGCTAAGCCATCTTGATCCCCTCACCATACTGCATGTAAACTATGTAGAGGATAGCATACATAAGGCCCATTAGGCTAAATCGGAAAGCCTAGCACCCCAGATAATGCAAGCAAAAACTGACAGAGGCAGCCACATAAAAGCTAATTAACAGATGTTGAAAGCAGAGCCTAAAAAGATATGATGAAAGGATTCCCATCCCTTGTGCATGGTTTGAAACTGGATTTAGGTTTGATTAAAGAGAAGTGTAACGTGAAATTAATCAGAATAACCTAAAAAGCTACAGTTTAACCAAGTAGCATGATCGTAAGACTTACCTGACATTAAGAAGTGCAGCGTAGGCCTCACTGCCAGCTAAGACATAACTAATTCCAATTGAAATGCTGGAGAAAGACAGTAATAGAAAAAGACAGAAAAGGGGAAAAACAGAGATGCAGGCAGAGGAAAGCAGGGAAGGAAAAGGAGAGAAAGAGAGGCGCTTAGGTATTAAGTAGTGATCAGTCATCCTCTACAGTCTTAGTGACAAGCACTCCTCCGTTGTATTAAACATTAGGTTGTTACTGCATCATAGCGCCCGAGGCAATGAAGAGATTTAATTTTATAATAGTTTCTTGTTTACCATGCAGTGCCTTGATCCTCCACAACTTTTCGATTTTATATTTTCTCCAAACAAAAAAAGGTGCCTTCGGGGGCTACTTAAAGCAAATGTTTTGGTTGTATATTTTACATGTACTTTGAACATCACACACCCACATCAAGCCAGAAATCTGCTTGCAAAATGCTGTACCATCACGAAGAAGCCGGATGTTGCTAAACATTAGAAGTGAGTGTCTTTACAGTACGTTTCAATCCCACGTGAATGACAAGACAGGTTTTTGGAGCTCAACATCTGTTCCATTCCTTATAAGTCTAAGCTCCTGTAATCTCTCAACAGTTGGTTGTTGAGACTGCAAATCTATTAGTGGTTTCTCCAGACAGCTAAATGTTATTTTGGAGCGCGGCGTTACGCCCACTCTTTCATATCTCCCCGCTTTCAAATCTTGAAAGGAAATGCCAACAAATTTAGGAAGTTTTATGCAGCCTAGTCCTCTCATCTACAGCAGTTTAAACCATATTTTTGAACATAAGAAAAAAAACTTGCCAGAGTTGAAAAGCATAGAACAGAGAAGCAGTGATGTCAACGTTGCAGCGAGAGATTTCAAAGTCAAGATATAACATGTGGACTTAAAAAGGCAAAATACAAAGAAAAACAACGTTTACTTCTATCATTCTGAATACGTGAACATTTCTGCTAACCTGTGGTGCCACAGAAATACAGTTGTATACACATGAAAACACAACATCCACACAACACAAGTCAAAAACATATGAAATCACACAACTTGCGCAGCACAAATGTCCTCATCAACCTCTGGTATGAGGTTAGACCAAAAAGTTTCCCCCTTAAAACGAAAAATGTTTGCTCAATATAAATTTGGCCAACTTCTCCCCTTCAAACCCTCTGATCCTCTACCTCTGGACAACATCCAGCCTTATAAAAGACTCTGGGATAAAGTTGGGATTTCTCAGATCCAATCACTTGCAAATGCACATGTGAAATACAGACTAGATCTTCTAAACTGTGTCCAAAACGGGGGGCCTTCATTTGGGGTAGATGGTAACATTTGTGCTCGTTTACTGGGAGAACACTGGTTTCTAAACTCATGTCCACACAAACTCTTACACAAGCTATGAACAGTCATGGAAATTATGATGCAACCAGGTCTGAACTCGTACAGGAACAATTGTTCAGGAGATGCACACGAATGGTATGAAATATATTTCTCTAATATCTTTCTCATTTGCACATTCCTGTTACCAGTCATATCTTTTATCACATCCAAAACACAATGATCTGATTAAGGCCTGGTGCCTGAGCAGGAGGGTAAAGGATTTCTGAGACACCATCACTAGCCTGGGTTGTTAACATGCGGCAGGGTGAGTCCATGGAGTCATACTGTTGATGCCAAATATAGAGGCTAGCATATGAATATGTCAACCCAATTTTGATGTGAGCAGTGTAGCCTCATATTAGGCCTACAAAACATATTTGTGAGAAACATTTTTTCTTAAAAAAAAAAATAAAAAAAAAATACAATATTTCCTTATTCATTTACATCAGTATTTTTAAGCTTTCTTTAGGTTAAAAGACATGATAATATAATGTTAAAAATCTGACATATGGCTACAATGAATAAAGGTTATTACTGTGTTAACTTTTTCAAAGCTTCCAGACAAAATCAGATATCTACTAAACTGAAAATGTTGGTCGCTCCTCCTTTTATGATGTTAGTTTGCAAAATAAACAATGAAAATGCTAAAGATCCACAAAAAGCACCCAACCAATCTGATATTTTCACAAGTAAAAGTCGGGTTTCTGTAAATAGAGTCTGGTGGAGTGTAATCATTTCACTTTCTTGATGGAAAGCGCAGTCCAACAGCAGATAATGAGATGAAAATGTTTTAAGCATAGTATATACTCAAACTGATACGGATTTCTTTAGGTTGCCAATATCTATTCGGCTGTGACAGCGTTCACAGCAGTACATGTGTTTAGTTTCTATGCTAGTCGTGCACTTGTCTGCTTGGGGATGTTGCTTAGTTCTGTCTACTGCAAGTAAAACACAGACTGTGGACAGTAACATTGCAACCCACTTAAAATGAAATATACCCAGCTACAGTATGTGAGCATTCAAAAAAAGGTTAGAAGAAATATGTGGTTCCTGAAAAACTCCAGAGGCATTATCTTAGTTCTCTAGTTATTTAGTAATTTTTGACATCTCATGTGTTGTTTTCATTGAAGAAAAAAAATGGATGTCTGTATTTGTCTATCACCTTCCACTACCTCAAATTCCTTTTTTTGTTTTGATTGACAGGGGTCTATCTGCTTCAGTGTGCTGTGCAGTGTGAGATGCTTACACTTGGTTGTAAGGTGTGCTTATCTGAGTGACCCTTCTGTCAGAGCCAACCGACCTGGCTGTTCTCCTCTACCAATACAGTGAATCTCTCCACAGAACATCAGCGAGATCACCGTTTTCCTCCAGTGTTTGCCATGAACGGTAACTCCAGCTCCTGACCTGTATCTGGATGATTTTATGTACGTCGGCCACACGATTGGCTGTTTGTATAGTGTATAAGCATTTTAAAATGACAAAGATTCTGCAGACTGTGTACTTCCCCTTAAACTCACAAAAATGTAAAGGAGATTTGGTAGAGGTTCAGTAAGGCAGATATTTCACACATTTTATCTTTACGACTTGGCTATATAATCCACTCATTAGTCTGCATGTGTGGGTGTGTACGGATCTCTGGGGGAGACAAGAGAGAAGTTTGAGAGTTTCATCCTTAAATTCCAGTTTTATAAAGTCAAAAAAAGTACATGGGTACATGAAATTAATAAAGCGCAAACACATTTCATCAAGCAATTTGTGTTAGATTACTTATATGTACTCATACATTCTGTGTGCATAAGGTGCCCTGCATGGCTGTGCCAAAATGCACATTTTACAGCAGCTCTACCGTGTAGGGCAGTACATAAAGAGCGAGGGGCACCAAGGGTAAAAGATGCAGGTCGTGTGTTGTGTGTGCGTTAGCGGGGCTGAGCCTCTGCATTGATCGACCACTAAGCCTCCTTGAACACAATGAGGGAACTATCGATTGTCCAGGTGTTTCAGAGCTGTTCACACACTGATAACAAGACCTTCCACCGACGATGTTAAATGCCCTGTGCCCCTCCTCTGTGCCCATAAGGACACACACATGGACGCACAAATCTGTCAATGGTGCAAACAAATAATTCAAACCTAAACTGATTAACAGCACACTGGTGTATTTCTGTTAAGAATAAAAAAAAGAAAAACAATGCAGGATACAACAGGATGGACAAGTCAAAGTACTTACACTGGCAACATTTGGTCATTACTTTAATTGAAGACACTTATTTGGAGGGTGATGCATCAGTGTTTTTCCTCAAATTAAAAATAAATAAATATTAGCAAAAAGAATGACTTTTCTAGACCATTACTTCCACAGACTGACCCAGACAGATCATTAGTTTTGAGCCAGAGGAGAAATTGATAAGGAACAGAAATTTCCATTAGGGAAATCAAACATTACATTCCCATTATTTTTGCAGGAAATATACTGTGTGTTTTTCTACAATATGCATATAATTAAAATTAATGGTCAGTATTTTTGCGTCAGCTGTGATTGTGCTTTGCTTTCATGCATAATCAGGAGATTTCGACCTCAGCCAGCCACAGCAGCTTCCATGTTTAAGCATTTCAATGCAAAGTTTCATTTACCAGCTGTCACATTTAAATTAAGGACAGACAACTGAAAACAGGTTACTTAAAAAAGTTGGTGGACTGCAGATGGTGCAGCAGTGATCATATTTTATCACTATTTGGCTCAGGCTTGTAACTCAATATTTCAAGACTGTGCAGCAGAAGCCAGTGATATAAAGTCTGAACCTCAAGGACAGTTTTTACACAAGTCTGCTGTGCTCGCTCAGTTAAGAGTAGTTGTGCTGGTGCAGGACACTGAAATGAAATTACTCGACAATATCACTGTGTAACAACGCCCGAAGGGGGAAAACCAAAAAACAATGGCCAAATATGATATTAGGATTTATTCTAATGTGACTTTTAAAGGGACGGGTGTGAAAAACAAGTTATGAAGCCTGTTCTAGGAAAACTCAGCGTTGTGTCACTAATCTGAAAGAGTAACTATAAAAAAACAAAACAAAACCTTGAAAACATTCATGAACCTAGCAACTATGAGACTACAAAAAAAAATAATAAAATAAAAATCCATAATGCACCTTTACAGAACAGTCTTACTAGACTTGGAAAGTAACCGACTGCATGTGTGGGGCTGTGATAATGTTTATAATTCACAGGAAAAACAATTGTGTAGTTTCTCCTTCTTTGGACCCATCACAACACAACACTTTGGGTTTTTCCATTGAGTTGGATCTTAAATGAATGTCTACAAACTACAGCAGACTGTGGAATGCTACTCCACCACCCCAACCGCTTCATTTCTTATGTCATTTCCTACAAATGGGTAGTTCAGAGATAAGTGCACACACCTCGAGTAAAAACAAAACAAAACAAAACAAACAAAAAAACAGACGATGGAAGGCTTCCTTACATTTGTAGAAAAATGCCCCTCTTATACCTTGCACTTTGTGCAGCATCTTTCACTCATTACAGTAAGAGTGTGTGAGTCAACAATATAAGGATCTGGTGATATTCCCAATTCTTATAGAAGTATTATATAATACTTTTGCCATTTCCAGGATTTTTTAGAAATGAGTTACATTTTTAGAAAGAACTTACTTTCATAATTGTGACATGTACACATTAGGGGGCCGTAATGACTGGGTGGTTTTTACCCGAGGAAAGCATATTTGGTTATTTTCAAGTTTTTATTAATCTAATAAATAACTTATTTACAAAATAAGTTATTTCAGAAGCTTGCTTGGCAGCATTAAGTTTTCATGGGAAACTCTGAACAAGCTATGCACTCTTGGTATGTGTAGTTTATCCCAGATGCTGACAGGCACTCTAAGCACTGTCATACTCCATGGTCAGTTTCTCAGTGAATGAGAAGAATCCGAACTACTAGTAACTTTAGCCTCCTCCACAGATTCAAACCAACTTGAATAAAAGTTCCCATGGCTTCAGACTTCTGCCATTCCACATTACTGAGGTCCTTATCTCCCAAGGGACATTGAGTGCTTTGGAAGTGGGTTTATACCCTCACCCTGACCTGTGCTATCTCAAGAGAGTTCCAAGCCACGGCTTGAGGTAGGCTTGGGGTAGGCATGGCGGACCTAGCCTGGTGACCCTTACTGAATACATGCCCTGGCTGGAATCCCTTACCAATTGTTCCAGAGGTTGTAATGGTGCCACTATACTATTCAGCTTCTTAAAATCAGAAGGAGCATAAGAAAACAAACACCACAGGCTGAAGAAACAGCTGGAGCAGTCTAAGAGTGATCAGCCCTTCAAAAAGGAAAGAAAAGGAAACTAAACTAAAACAAAAAATGCTTACAGCTCATTAACAAAGGTTGAACTTATTCTCCATCACATGTAGAGCGAAGTGCTGCAAAACACTGAATTCAACCACATTCCGCCCACACTCAGTGGTACTTAATGTGTGACTGGTAAATGATGCAACTTTAAGAACCTGCAAAGATCATTGCCATGGTAACTTACAATTGGAAGAGGAGAATGCAGTTAAAAGCATGGCTCATGGGGCGGGAGAGGAAGATTCGCCCAAGCAGATGAAGGTTCGGCTGCAGACTGCCGGCTTGGTCATGCAGAGCTGCTCCATCCGGCTGTAGTAAACCTGTATCTAAAAGACACAGACAAATGCAGGAGGCAATCAATTCACCGAACCTCAAACTGCTACAGTAAAAAAAAAAAAAAAGCTGCCAAATGTTCAGCTTAGCACATCATTTCCAAAGAAAGTAGACTCGTGGCCCTTTTATCACAGGTTATAGCCTCAATGTAGACATGAATGATAGTTTCCCCTCTCAGATTTTCATTTTTCATGTTATTTGCACTTTTTCAAGCCTCCTGAAGGTGACTAGCACTAAAGAACATATCCAGGAATTTTAAACATAAAAATAATCCATCCATCCATCAGTTTTCTTATCCAATTCAGTCACAACTAAGCTAGAGCCTATTCTAGCTGTCATAGGGCAGACAGGAGAACACACCCTATATAGGTTACCAATGTATCAGAGGGTTAACACAGGGACAGACAACCATTCACACTCACATTCACACCTACAATCACCAATTAATCTAACAAGCGTGTCTTTGGCCTCTGAGACGAAGCAGGAGTACCCAGACAAAACCCACACACAACACAACAAGAGAGTTTAAGGTCACGAACCCCCACAGAATCTTTTCATTGTTTTCATGATAACCCCCAAGAGACAAAAAATGAGTGAAGACAACATATCAAAAGAAGGGTGTTTAAAAAGTTCTTTGGAGGCTTGACGGTCCTTACTACAGCCCATCACTTTTTTAATATTCTGTTTCAACTACCGATTATGCTATGCATTGTTCTTTTGAAGCTTATTTCAGCTTCCTTAAAGTGCTGACTTGAACACTGAGCTTGAAGAATGCTGCAGCTATTGCCATAGATTCTGCTCTTCAAGTAACCCACAGTCTTTGTTGCTGCTGTTCTGGGTTTGAACTCACATGCATGTTGCAAGGACAGATGATAATAACTTTGATGAAAGTGGACCTGGCAGAGTGTACATTATTAAATGTGACAGTTAAAACCAGCATGTTAAATTAATGGCAAACATGCCTGTTAAATGAATAGCAATGCAGAAGTCCATTAAGTAAGAGTAGGGCACTGAAACACAAACACAACAGCATCACTATACAAAATTCCAAACCAGAACCAAGCAACTGCATAGCATTAACATGCAGCTTTCATGGTGAAGAGGAATTTTTGTCTGATTTGATAATGACGGCTGGTTTATACTGGGACACATCAAATTTTAAAAACAAATCTCCTTTGACTGTTTTTTTTAAGCTTGTTAACCGTTTTACTGATGCATAAATGTATAAGGTGCATTTCAATGCTGTAGCTGGCCAAGACAAGGCTAACATCCATTTGCAGGTTAACAACGATCTATATACATATACAGAATACATTATGTAAATATGTCCAACACGCCACTTTTCTGTTTTTTATTTGCAAATAGGGCTGCCACGATTAGTCGACCAGTCTCGATTACGTCGATTATCAAAATCGTTGACGAGTAATTTAATAGTCGATGCGTTGTTTGAAGCTTTGCAAGATCACAAAAGACGCAGGAATAAGTAGTAGGATTTTAAGAGTGTAATAACAGACTGAAACAGAAGATGGCAGCACTGCATATACAAGGATGCCAGCTGCCGTTAAACCCCGAAGAAGAAGAAGAAGCTGGGTCCAGTGTTGCCAACTTAGCGACTTTGTCGCTATATTTAGCGAGTTTTCAGACGTGAAAAAGACGTGAAAGCGTGTATCGCTTTTACTCTCAACAAGCAGCGGCTGCTGTAACGCAGTCAGTTCTTTTACTCTTTTACTCTTATGCTGTTTTGTGGATCACAAGGTTTAAAACTACTTATAAACTGTTAAATTATAATATTATTTTATGCCATGTTATACCCCTAATTAAAGATTGTGAATTATTATGTAGTTTTAGTTTGCAGTATTCTCCTGAATTAGAAGAAGCTGATAACTATTGCATTAGTTAAACTGATTTGCATTACATTAGACTGCTGATTTATTGTGGATGAATGATATTGTTTTATGATGTTATAAGAAACACTGTTTGCAGAAAGTCATCGCCTTATTTGTCTGATTAGAAGAGAACAGAGCATGCTGGAGTTTTCTGCCCCATCTCAGCAGGAGCAGATAAACGGGGAGCCAAGGTCGTAGCTTAGGCGCCGTGTGAGAGAAAAGCATGTGAATGTTTAGGCTTTTATGATAAGGTGGGGGCACCAGAGGCTATAAGAGTTTGATTAATGCTCCACCATTTTGAGATCTGAGGCTGTCTGCATACAGTGTCCATCTCCCACGCGTGTGACTATTAAAATCATCGTTTGACTTAACCCGGCCGGACCAGTGTTGTTATTGTGGTTTTTTTCTCTTGTCTCCATCCCCAATATTTGAACTCGTAACAGCTTGGGTTACGGTGGAGTTACACACAAAGTAAAGGAGCAGGGTTGGAATTGTGACATTAAAATAAAACAATAATTGCTAAAAGAAATTTAATTTGTAGTTCTAAATAAACTCTAAATGCATTTAGGATGTTTTTTACTCACTTTATGTCTCTTCCACGATGTTATTTCTCTCTCCAACAACATAGGTTACAATTAGATTAGCATGACCAATTATGCAAATTAGGCGATGACGTCATTTAGCGACTTCAAGGACAACCAATAGCGATTTTCCTTACTGAAGAGTTGGCAACACTGGCTGGGTCCCAGAATTCATAGCGCAGCCCAGCTCAGTTTCCAACAAAGGTGGCAGCTAGTTAGTTTTAATATTACTCTTATTATTCTTTCCGGGTCACAAAATAAACGTTTAACATATTTTCAGGCGAGAATGTAGCTGTGTAAACCTCAAATACCTGCTCAGTTTATCAAGACACCACATATTTTCAAAAGCGCTCCGACGTTTTCGGGGACGTCTGTTACACACCAGCTCGATAGCTAGCCGGGGGCAAGGCTCACTAGAGCCTGTGAGAACGCTGGACTCCCGGCAAATCGTTTTCAAACCCACCGCCGTCTTTCGCTGCTCAGGTTAAACACATATAAGTCACTTAGATAACTTAAAAATGTTATTGTTTGGCTTTTTTCAGTATTTTATTTGTTCCTGAGTAAATCAGTTCGGTGAGATTAAAGTTATAGTTTTCACACAGCTGAATAAACGTCCAGCAGACAACTGACTATCAGAAGTGTGAGATGCTCGAGAGTATATACTCCGGTGTCCCGTTATATTTTAGATAGCAAGGAGTTTATTAAACTTCACCGAAATAATCTGCAAATTTCATTAAAATTTAATAAACTATCATCTTGTCTTTATTTTTAGTTAGCACAGACCTTAAACACTTAAAGCTGTAAGCTAATGATAGTTATATAAGAGCAGATGCATGCTGGTGCAATAAGCTGTACGTTTTACATCCAATGGATGCATGATCTGATCGGTCGACTAATCGCAAAAATAATCTGTGACTAGTCATCTATCAAAATAATCGTTTGTGGCAGCCCTATTTGCAAATAATCCATAAACTGCAGAAGGCATAATTCAGAGACCCAATAGATCTTTCAATTACTGAGAGCCACATCCTGAGTATGTACTTGAACTTTTTCTAAATCATGGTTTATGTATTGACGTTTCCTTTTTATCTCCACAATTTAGGTATACTGACGAGTTTATCTATGACTCTACTCACGCAGTACTTAGAGAGGTCAGTCATACATTTAAGTCAAGGTAAAGCTAGATACTAAAGATATTATACAGATGATATGTAAATGTAGTAATGCTTGTGATATCTACAGCTCCTCTCAGAGTATTCCAAGCAGCACTGGAGAGGAATGTGATTAATTGCAAGAGATCTTTAGTAAACAAACCCAAGCAATGAATGCAGAGAATTTATGAGAAATGTGTTTATTTCTATACATGTATGTGTAAACATGCAGCACAAGCATCAATTTAGAAATGCAAAAAGAAAGCTTTGAAAAGCAACCTTGAATATGCCTTATCAATAATCAAAAAATAATTATAGTTCAAAGAATTAAGCAGCAGGTTCTCACTAATGCATAGTGACACCAAGCATCATTTTATGATGCGCAGGGTAGTATGTTACTGAATTTGGCAGTATAAAACCAAAGTAAGTCAGAATTTGGGGGTAGACAGAGCAGGGAGTGGTATTTTGAAAAACATCACAATTTAGGTTAAAATACACCTTTCACATGTAAAAAGGCAAATTTCTCCCATCTCTAGCAAGTGCTTCCTTATTTTCCATTACCACAGCCTCACAAAGCCAAGATCAAGGCTTTAACTTGTTTTTAGAAATTTTTTAAAGAGTAGACATTAAGCAATATTTCTGTGCACAATATCACACAAATACCACAAATAATGTATTTGTGTGATGGTTTAAAACCATCACACAAATACATTGTTGAACCATTTGCAAATTAGTACATTTGCAGTGGTCTTGAATTAACAGGCAAGCATTTAGCAGAAGTTTTACTATCAAACAACTACAGTGCAGATCAGAAAACACAGAATTCTTAGTAAATTATGATTATATTCCTGAAAAACTGGCTTGCAAATTAGTGTTAGTGTCATCGCTAATATTTAAAAATGATTCCTCTACTTTAGGTTATAACAAATTAGGCTTCATAAATTAGCACACATGCATATCTCCTGTTTAACACCAGTTTAATTAGTATTCCTGAATGTAATTAGTGATCTGAAAAATTTAGTCAACAGAATAATATAATTCAAATCTGTCCTGCCCCAATGTATTAGTTTAAGTCCATTTAAAACACTGGGAAAAATTCCTATGGAAAAAATCAGTAACTGCCTCCCACATGAGCCGCTCAGAAACAGAATGTTTTTTTTCTTTTTGTACAACAACTTGAGCACAGCTATTAAAGCCTGCAAAATGTGACCTTCATATTATAAGAAATGTTCTAGTTACAGGCCCTCAAAGTACATAGCAGTGGGTTGAAATTTGGCACTTTTTAAGTAGACTTCTTTTTTCTTTTTTTATAACTGGTAACATCTTGAGTACAAAAGATACACGTGAAATTTTCAAAGTTGAAAAACACATTTAGAGTCTAAACTCTGCAGAAAAATCTATTTTACACCCACTCCAAATGTTACAATCTAAAGCTAAAAGCTCTCTTTTCCCCCCAGAACATCTTTTTCTATAACTAAGTTTGAGCATAAATGTCATGGGGCATTTCAAAGTTTTAATAGCAAAATATATTTAAAAAATATACACAAAAATATACTGACACGCAAACACGCACTTTGTTATAGTATACGAAATGTCTCATTTTTAGCTACATTTTGATGGAAGAATCGTGTTCCAGGTTTGGTTCCTTTAGCAACAAAATTACTTCTAAAGAATTTAAGTTTGTATAACGGGCTTCTCACCTGCTTCTGCATTTTCACTGTCATCATCTTCTTCCTCAGTATGAACTGGATCCTCCACACCCACCTGATCCATGACTATACACTCTGCAACACCTGTCTATGATTACCACAGAAAGTAGAGTCATTTAGCTTTCCACTTGACCAAAACGAAACCAGAAAATGATGAATAAGTAAGGTAAGCTTTAATACACTTCTTCGTTTGACATGCAGGGAAAGTATCAGGGTAAAGATTTGTGTTTAAAAAAAAGTTCTAAATCCATGCTCTGTATCATGTTTCTGTATCAAGTTTTCATTCCCTTAATCCCTAATCCTTCCTAAAGGCTCCAGCTATATTCCGTGTCTTTGATTATTATTAGTGCAGAATGAAGCTTCTAGCTTCTTGCCAGTTAAGTACTTTTGGACAGCAAAACATAAAATGTAGGCACTACACAGGTTTAATTCAGTTACTGACCTTTAAGGATTCCAGCTGCATCACCTGACATTTCTGAAGAAGCTCCACAAACAGGTAGATCAGCAAGGCCTGCATGGGAAAGAATACGGAAAATACATGTAGGTTTTGTGGTTGAAATGGTTGTGGTCGTTTCATGAACTATAAAACAATAAAATCAGAGGTTGTGTATTACTTACCTGGACAAAGAAGCCAACAATAAAGGAGAACAGGAAAGGCACCAGTCCAGCATGGGCTATCGTTACTGGAAGACCTGCAAATTAAAACGAGGTGAAACTATTTCTGAATTTCATTCCCATCTAAGCTTACCAGAAGATATGTGCTAGACAATGTCTGACTCTTTGTCAGCATATCCACCTGCCTGTCTATCACCATCTCGGCTCGTTTTTCGCTCTCTCAGACACTCCTTTGTACTCTGGCTCAAACTTCCCATAAAATTTAATGGATGGTGCTGATTTCAATATGAGATTTAAGTGACTGAACAAGTATTAACTTGGAAGGGCTCCACCTTTGTGGAACTACATGAAGACCCTGCTGAAAACAAAGTACTTAAATGTAATGTTCCATGTAATTTCCACCTCTACAAAAATCTCTCTGGTGTTAACTACACTTCATAAACCACACTTAAATTTGCACTGCCAATGACAGCCAGGAGATGGACAGCGCTTTAATTATGCTTCAAGTTATATTAGAAAAGTCCATCCAGTAGAAAGAAAAAATACAGCTCTCTAAAGTTTCGACCACTGTGTTAGCCAAGTCACAATACTCCAGTGCAGTAAACTTTTAATAAATCCTTCTGTGAAGAGTCGGGTTTATTTTGAGACTGTGTGTGAAGGATCTTGTTTCTACTATTCAGTAAATTCTCAGAGCAGTTTGTAGTGTTGTTCATCTCATACTGAAATGTACGATATTCCTTCTTTTGTCTCATCCAGAACTCTGGTTGTTTTAAATGCTGCCTCTGAATTTGTCTTGTTTTTCCAATAGTTTTTTTTGCTTGCCACCAAATTACCTTCAGTCTCAACATTAAGTATTAAGTCACTTGACTTACTGTTCTGACTCATCATCCAATTCCAAGTGTCCTCAAGAAATGTGTATTCTGAATCCCTGCAGATTTTTTTTTGCACAAGGATTCAGCATATGTCAAACAGGAGCAGCAGGGAAGGATAACATGGAAACAACTATGTACGTAAAAGTATGTAAAATTTTGCTTTTGAGGTGTTCATCTGCCCTGATAAGAGTTCACTTGAACATTTACTTTGTCATTCAGAGCGTTATTCTCACTCCGAATAGTGATTTAAGTTTCAGCGTTTTGTTTCATAAAAACCTCCCGCTGAGATTGGCTCTACATGTGTTCCATAAGCAGAAATGAGTGCATCTCACAAAGAGCTTACTGAAGATGTCAACTCATTAACCTACTCTATGTGCATCAAAGCAAGTGTTAACTCATCTAAAAACAAATATGGTCAAGTGCTGAGCCAACATAATAAACCCAAGGCTGATGACTCAGAAAAACCAGCAAACAAACAGAGAAGAACAGGCTTTAACCTTAATTTCCGAAGTAGACCTTTCAGAAGAGGAAGAACAACTACTCACTGTCCAACCATTTTTAGTACAGAAACAAACAAGCGCACACACAGAAAAACCAAAACCATAATAGCTAAAGTGCTATTGTTGCTGCGGACTATACACCCTAGCCCAAGATGTTAACCTCCAGGACAGACTGACGTGTGTTTGCTTATCAGACGTTTTACTTGATGTTGTAAAAACTGTAATTCATGCACCTCAAGAAAAAAAAAAGCTGTGAATATGTGAATACTCACCTAAGATTCCAGTTCCCAGTATTGTTGCAATGGTCAAAAAGTCTGGGAAGACAGAAAGTGATTATTTGAGTGATTATTATTATGATTATTTCTTGTTCTACTTGTAGGAACAAAATGTTTGACTTGAACATACAAAATAACACCGAGGTTCACAGAAAGACAAAATTAAATATATTGCAAATACCAACTGAGTTGGGTGAAACAAATCAGGAGGAATGTCTGCAACAGCCTTAAGCTGAGAACGCATGGTCAAAGGTGGCATCTTCCTGCCCAGGCCACACCCTCCAGGGTAGCATTACTTGCTGCAGCTTCGGTTCATAAACAGCTTTTGCCCTGTTTGGTGGATGTCTTCGAAGTGCAACCCAAACAACACACATTTGGTACAGAAACTATGCCATCTTACAAAAAGTAGTGCATGCAAGGATCAGCTGCTATAGGGCCAAAACTTACTAAATATAACAGTGTTCAACACACACCATGAAACTGAACACAGCCAGGACCTTCTTTACTTTCATTCATTAGATTGGGGGTGGGGGAACTCCAGGCCTCAAGGGCCGGTGTCCTGCAGGTTTTAGACGTGTTCTTGATCCAACATAGCTGATTTAAATGGCTTCAAGTTCTCCAGAGGCCTGTTAATGAACCAATCATTTGATTCAGGTGTGTTGATGCAGGATGATACCTAAAACCTGCAGGACACCGGCCCTTGAGGCCTGGAGTTCCCCACCCTTGGATTAGATGGAGCTGACTCAACACTAAAGGTTATATAAGAGACAGCAAAACCATACGATATTTTTTAGATTTGACATGACAACTCCAGACCAAAGAAGTAGGGGTTCTACTTATATATCCCCAAAACTTACATTACAGAGTCTTCAATATTTGTCGAGCACCTCTCAATTAACAGTTTCAATGTATATATATATATATATATATATATATATATATATATATATATATATATATATATATATATATATATATATATATATATATATATAGTGCCTTTCCACTCTACAGCTATTTTTAAGGCTAAATTAAATTGACAAATCACACTGACTCACATTATCATTTCCTAAGCATACGGATACTGAATAGAAAAGCAGATGAACACATTGAGTGTATGGTCTAGCATAAAAGACAAAGAAATAAACCAGGCAGCACAAATTCAAATAACTGAAGCACCCTTCCTGATATCTCAGCAGAGCTTTCACTGTAACTCCACTGTGCAATCGGCCTTTTCAGTGTAATCACAGCTGTGGAAGGAACTACATTTTTCAGAGCTGCACACATCATCTCCGAGCTCACTCGGGCTCACATAAACAACTCGTTCTATGTAACTGCTATCACTCTGAGATTTAAATTCAGGATTACAGTGAATAACCCCAAACGATCCTTCACACTGTCTCCATCAAGCAGCAGATATCACAGATATCAACGTACACTAAAATGTTAAACAGCAAAATGAAGCTGTTAGCATTTTCCATAATTATAATGTACCACTAACTCAAATGAATGGTCCTGGTCAGTGTTATGGAGTTTGCAATCTTTATGTTTGGGAAGCGCAGTTTTTGCTTATTGGGAATAATATTAGTATCAATTGGTATTAATTAGCAATTAATACTGCTGCACTTTCATGTTGGTATCTCTGCACAATCTGCAACATGGATAAGGACATTTTTAGGTGAGGACAACTTTGCACTGTTTGAAATTAATGTGCACACAAGAAGCCGCAACATCACATGAGAAGAGAGAACAGAAAGAGGGTAACTCTGCTGGCCAAATAAGGAGGGAGGACCAGGGAAAATAACAGTAAAGGACCATGAAATGTTATGCCTTTATGCAGTGCAAGCTCCATCTGATCCACTTTTAGTCACTACTCACTGTAGTCAACCAAGCTCTCCTGCGGGTATAGTCTACATTTTGTCTCATCATGCTTAAAGTGTGTGTGTGTGTTGGGGGGGGGAACTCCTAGGTACTTCTTTTTCACTAGTCACAAAAATAGTTTTGTTTTGGGACCACATAGTATGTATTTTGGTGGGTGGGTAATTCTACGTTTACTAGAGCAGGGGGGTGTTCAAACCTGGCTACAGAGAAAATCACTCAGCCATACAATTTGTCACACATCACCACCATGAGGGAATGAGACTGTCTCAGATTCATTCTTCACTGCATAACGGTTAGTCCAAACTAAGGTCTGACCAATACTGGGACTGTGGAAAGAACTCAAACAGTGGAACAGTGTCAGTAGAACCAGTGCACTCCATACACCACACAGTAGCAGGATTTATTTAGCATATGGCCACACCCACCTTATATAAAACTGTATATATATATCAAACACTGTATTTAAAAGAGAGAAAAAAAAGCTACAGGCCACTATGTCGACATCTGAATTTTTATAATTATGTGAACTACTTTTAGTATTTGTGTCATGGTCCTGCGGCCATGACTCAGTGACTTTGTGTTTGTGTTCCTTATTGTTATTATTCTCTTTATTATTCTTGGGCTGTTTTGGGATGGTTTGTGTTTTGGGATTTTAGATACTGGGTTTTGGGTTTGTGCTCCCTCTATTGGTCCCTGGTGTTAGTGTTCCCCTGTCTCGTCAGGTTAATCAGGTCCAGCTGTGTCTCCCACCTGTGTGTGATTTCCCAGTGTCTCTCTGTGTACTTATAGTGTGTGTTTGCCTCTGTTCCTCGTCGCGTTGTCTGTGTTCATACCCTGTGAAATCCCCTGCGTGCTCTCCCTGCTGTTCTCCCTTCATGTTCCGGTTTGCCATTCCTTTGTGTAGTTTCGCCCAGTTTAGTTCATCCTTAGTTCTGTTTTGCCATCTCCACTTTATGTTTGGTATTATCAATAAATCGCCTTCACATCTGAGTAAGTGCTGCATTTGAGTCCTCCTTTCCACTCTTCACACGGCCGCTGCCCCGGACCGTGACAATTTGAATTACTTTTTTTTGACTGTGTACACAACCAGTTGATTTTAAATCAAACAATAAACATGTGATTGAAATGCACCATCTCAGCTTTAACTCACAGGGTTTAACAAAAGTGTTGCATTCACTTTTTCTAAATCACAGCCATTTGTATACATAATTCTCCATTTTCAAAGACTCAAAAGCAACTGGACAATTGACTCAGGTGAGGCCTTCACCTCTGGAATACATTGAGCACATAAAAGATCTGGATTTGATTACTTGTTGCCACATCAACAATACAGACACTCTTAAAAAAAGAAATCCAATGGCCAACTTAGCAACACCAAAAGGCCTGAAAGACCAAGGAAGAAAATTGAAGTTGATGATGGCATATTTTATTCTTTGGTTAAAAAAATAACAAACAAATAAATAAACCTTCACAGCATCTAGCAAAGTCAAGAGCACTCTCAAGGAGGTAAACGTGTCAATGCCAAAGTCTACAATCAAGACGTGTTCTCATGAATATAACCACAGAGGTTTTACAGCACTGTGATTACACTCAAGAACCGAACGGTCATCTAAAGAAATTCTTTGAATAGCTGCAACCAAAGTTAAGAGTGATGGGAGGAGAAACGCATTGAGAAGGGGAAGAACAGCTCTTGATCAAAAACACACCACATTATCTGAAGGTGGAGATGGACATGGCTATGCATGGCTGCCAGTGGATCCAGTGGAACAAGATCACTAGTGTTTATTGATAATGTGACTGCTGATATAGAAAGTAAGACTAATTGTGATGTGAACAAGGCCATACTCTCTGCTCAGATTCAGCCAAATGCAGAACTCATCAGACAGTTTCACATACAAGGTATATGAAGGCATAATTTAAAAAACTGTGCCGCTGTCCAAATATTTATGGACCCAACAGTAACCCTAACCCAGTTTAGTTTTAGTAGCTCAAACTATACTTCGAAAACAACACCTGAAGCCTTACCATCACATAAAAGCTTTTACATTTGTGCTACATATTACCAGAGAGTAGTCAGAAAGCTATGAAACCTTTTTGGGTAATTACAATAAACACCATCAACCAGCCTCGCCAACCACAAGCTGATGGTTGTATTGACGAGGCAGGTCATTTTTCTGTCGAATTCAGATCCATCACTTGGACTCTAAGGACCTCCCATCATCACTAGAAATAGGCTGTCATTTTCAATCAGCCTGGTCGTTTTTTACGATTGTCTTATCAGTCCTCTTCTGTACTCTTTCAATGCCGTCCAAAGATGAGTGAGGCACATATGGTGACGGTAATCAGACATGTCATGAAAATCTTTCATATTGTCTGCGTTCTCACAGCTGGGCAGGCATGTAATATAACAACTCAATAACTCATTTTAGACAGATATAGACTGTAACCGCAGGAAAGGAACATGGAACTTGGACAAAGTGACCCTAATATTCATAAATAGCACTTTGATTTGGATGCTTCATTTTTGATTGACCCCTGTCTTTATTCATGCAAACAGTTTGACACTTCTTACTCACAAAATACAAACAAACAACTTTCTTTATATAGAAAGTGCATGGAAAAAACTTTGCCACAGTGACACTGGCAAAAAGAGAAAGCTTAGAGAAAAGTACAGCGGTGGGAGGCTTTAATAAGCTATAATACGTGACATGTCTCGCGATGTGGACATGAACCTAACCTCTGAACGTTGATGACTTAGGACTTAACCTAACCTTAAAGATTCCCTCAAGACAATATTTGAAGATATATGAAAGACCTGCTTCGAATGATAATTTGTGTGTGATGAGGTTTTCAATGCAATTTAATAATAACATAATAAGAAATTCAAAAATGACATTTACACCTTGTTTTAAAAAAAAAACAAAAAAAACAGAATGTATGAATATGTTCAAAAATATCATTGCAGATGTTTAGGGTGTCGACAAGCTGTCTCATACATCACATAAAGTCAATTTTTGATATTTTTTGCAAAGGAGCCATTATGGAAAAGATATATATAAATCTTATAAAGTTTGTATCTGTCTTGTGTGAAACTTGTATGAAAAGCATACAAGAGTGAAAACAGATATAAGATCCCTTGAAAAATTATATAATGAAACTTGTATGTTTTGGATACTTACTAAAACAATATATGAAAGTAATGAGAAAGTGGCCACTTTCATGAGTAAATCATATAAGTTTTTACTATTTCTTTTCCATATGGGAGGCATCGGGTTCCCAAAGCTCCCTGGTCTATGATGCTTGCTGGACTCAAACTGGCTTCCAGTCATGATGTCAGAAAATCTAATTTTGATTTTAGGAGAAACTTTCCACTTTCAGTAGAAGAATTTTAAAACAGCATCAATTATTTGTACGGGTAAGATCAAATATCAACAGGGCTACCAGCTCTCAGACTTTTGGTGTGAGTCTCTGTCAAATAAAAGAGAAAAATCTTGCCCAATATAGGATAGGAAGAAAAAAAAACACATACAGAGTGGAAATGATGGAGTTTGTGTAGCCTGACAAAGGCAAAGGAACCCTCACTAACATCACACAATACCCTATATTGAGTTTTGATTCAGTCAATTTGAAATGGTCACATAAATGCAAAATTTGCTCAAAACATTATCCATTTGTGTTTAAATTTGTGAATTTCATAAACACAGTTTTGCCTTCAAATGTAATCCCTGTTTTGCCAAAATGATAATACCTGCCATAGTATCAATAGGATTTATATAAGCATATAAGTACACCACCAGCAACTTAATTGTCAAACATAACTGAAATTCAAATGTAACCACTAAATCTGAGATGTCTGCCTCTGTCATCTTAATTCAGGAAGAAGTAGGCAATTTTACCCTGGATACACAAAAATATGTATTTTTCCCCTGTAATGTTTATTACATATATTTTTGTTGTTTCAATTCAATGCAGTTAGATCTATCTATCTATCTATCTATCTATCTATCTATCTATCTATCTATCTATCTATCTATCTATCTATCTATCTATCTATCTTCACATCATCTAGTAGAGATGGGGTGAAAGGGGGATTTTAAAATTCCCCACTTGCCCTGCGGGTGGTCTTTATCCTCCCCCAGAGTGCTGGGAGCTTGAGGGTTCTACACAGTATCTTTGCTGTTCCTAGACCTGTGCTCTAGGAACATCAGATACATTTCTGGCGCTTCTTATGTTCCTTCTTCCCAATGTTGCTACAACTCAGTAAATCTATCAGTATGGCTGTCTTCCTCTGCTTGTCCACTACTATGTTCGGTTGGTTTACCATCCCTAGTTTGTCCAGCCGTCCCACACGATCTTAGTTTGGTCATTCGCAACCACCCTAGGGGGCAAATCCCATTTTGACCTCGGGACCTCCATGCCATACTCGCACAGATGTTCCTGTAGACCAGGGGTCCCCAATCCCAGTCCACGAGGGCCGGTGTCCCTGCAGGTTTTAGATCTCACCCTGGGTCAACACACCTGAATCACATGATTAGTTCATTACCAGGCCTCTGGAGAACTTCAAGACATGTTGAGACGGTAATTTATCCATTTAAATCAGCTGTGATGGATCAAGGACACATCTAAAACGTGCAGGGACACCGGCCCTAGTGGACTGGGATTGGGGACCCGTGCTGTAGACTATGCCAGCTACTTTGTTATGGTGTTCCATATATGCCCTGCCTGCTAGCATCTTGTTCCTGATGAAGGCTCTTAGGGTCCTGTTAATCTTGTATAATTCTAGGCCTTCATGTGTGAGACACTGAGTCATAGCTTTCTTTTGCTCAATCCAGGGAGCGCACAGGTTGGTCAGTCTCCTCTTAAAGTCTTGACACGAGCGTTCTATCTACCAGGAGCTGGTGTTTCTGCCAATTCCTTTCTGTGCCCTGCTCATGTTATGAGCCATGTGCCTGTTAATCTTAGCTCCTATGATATCTGACAGGTGTGGTGCTGAAGCGGGTTATTGACCACGAGGTGGATGCGACTAATCCATTCTAGGGATCCTTGGGGATCAGGACTGTCTGGCATTTGGTTAACCATTCTGGTTGCATCTCATCCATTAGCAGCTGGTTCATATGTGCTGCCAGACACGTATGCCTTCTTGTTGTACTAGCCCACTTCTCAGCACCGTGTCCTGATTCCTTCCTGAAGTGGACCTTGTTAATCTGGGCAACACTGACTGCTGAATTTACAGGGTAATAGCTTTGGTGGTTACAGTCTGATGGTCACTGGAAAAACAAGCTTGTCAACATTGGAGGCCATCTCAATGCAGAGAAATATTGAGATAATATTCTCCAACCAGTGGCAATCCCATATGTCCACAGTCTAGGCGTGCTGTTCATGCCAGGGTGACCAAATCAACCACATTGGCTGACTTGAGACAAATGCTGGGTGACTAATGAGACGCCATCCCACAGCAGTGTGGGCCCAAGCAGGTGGCCACCACAAGGAGGAGGTGGCAAGCTGCTATGGCTGTATATGGTTCTTCCACATACTACTGAGGCCCCTGTTTGTTTAATGAATGATGGGTTAAATTGTCAGTATATGTTGTTTCTGGAGACTTTCATCATCTAATTGAATAAAGGACACCAAACACGCGTCCACAGCAGAATAAAGTGCTTGGAATTGGCAGAGAAGATTTGGCCAATTTGTAATGGTCACAACCCACATACTCAACACTGCTGCTTCACTGATAGGAAGTGGTGACAGCCTGTAGACCAACACTAAACTTTCACTGCAGTGCAAAATTTTACTGGTTGGGAATATTAAATATCCTGTCAGACACTGTAGTGTGGAGTGTGGCTTCATTTTTCTTGCGTAGAAATATGACTCTATAGCATATATTTCCATGAAACTTCTCTCACATAACTTGCTACTTAGTACTTCAAATTTAATTTGAAGTAGTAAGTAAATATATATAAACATATATTTCCTTTGTTAAATGCATGCCGAAGTGAAATGTAAAGCGTTGTAAAACACAAGGTTTTGCAAAGCTAGGTATGTATGTTTACTGCCTTATGAACAGGAATTATTTTTTAATTTTTCTAGTGGAAACAGCGTCCTCCCCGTGCCTGTCCTTCGGGGCGTTTATCCGCCTCCTCCACCCCCTCTGTAACATGAATGGAGGCTCGGCTCTTCAAATGTGTTTATATGATAAATTTATTCGGCTGCGACAAACCAAACGTCGCCTAAAACAGGGATGCGGCACATTTTCCATGATTTTCTGAGCGGACTTGTGTAGCCTGTGTTCGGTGTTTGACTCTAAACGTCGTGGTGTGTGTCGGTACTCACAGCACTGCAGATAAATAAACCGCAACTTCCAGTGTCTGTCCTGGTTTTTCCGCGTTATTTTGATGGACAGAGTGCTGAGACTGTTGTCAGGGATGGGACAGGGGCTCGTTTGGTTTCTTATCTCCACTGAATCGGTCGCCATCATTTTTACTACCCTATCTCTGTCCCCCCCAATCTCCTCTCTCACTCTTTCTCCTCCTCTCCCTCCCTTCTCTCGCAGCGCGCGAACACGCGTTGTCGTCGGGATGCTGCGCGCGCTCGATGGTCTTTCTTTCTGTTTGGAGCATGATCCACCCAAAGGACGTTTGAGTCAAAGCTAGCTCAAAACAGGTATGGTGAATAATATAATGAGCATTTAAAGAGGAAGCAGCCTGCAAAAGACAGATTTAATGTGATAAAAGAGGAGATGGGAGCACACAGACAGAAGCAGCGCTTTTATACAATATTTTATACAATATTTCAGAAAATACTGCTGAGGCATGATGTGGGATGATTCAGTAGATGTGACAAAATTACTTGAAAGAGTGCTGGCATTTAACATGATATTGATAAAGACAAATTGGTAATAAATATTGTGTATGTACAATGGCTAAAAAAGCATTGATGTCCATGTACTGATTTCTATTTGAAGCAGAGATTTATGGGAAACAAAAGGGTAGTTTGTGCATTTAGATAGGATGAGGAGCTCGATAATTTTGTTCATTCAGTAATGTGGCTCCTCCACATCAAAAGGAACCAGATGAGATCGTTTGGGCATCTGGCTTAGGCTACGTCCACACTTACATGTGTATCTTGGGACATAACGTAGCTTTTTCTATGCATTTTGGCCTTTTGTCTTTAAGGAGATGGACAAACTGAGCCTTCAGAAAAGCCCTGTTAGGGTGAAGATTTGCAGAAAAGGAAAACAGAGGTTTTGTCTTGTAAGGTGGGCATCTTTATCAAATTTTTTGACATCAGAATGTGCTGTGTGTTATTGTTTGTGAGCTTTTGATTGGCCAGCATTTCTTCCTGGTGTTGTAACAACTCCTGTTGCTTTAGCATGCTCTTGACAGGAACACGCTACACCTTTTCATCTTTGTGTTGAAAGATCTGCACTGCAGCATGATAATCAGCCAAGTACACATTAGAGCTCTCTCTTACACGAAGCAGAAGAACTGCTGACTGTCATGGACGTTCACCCAAAAGTTGTCTGACCTCAACCACACCCAACATTTGTGGCTGCTTGAAGACTAAAAACTCCCTTACAGCACAAGCTGTTTACAGCATTGGAGCATCATGCTGAAATAAATGAGCTGTAGGTCAACTCCATATAGCTCAACATGGAGTAAAGCTAAGGATGGAAAGCATGTCTGTGTAGGTGCTGTCATCCAGATTCCGTTGCCTTAATAGCTTGAACAAAGAAAGTACATGGACTTATTTAAGTTTGTAAACACGTTTCATCTCTCAGGCTTCTGAGTTCTGAGAGCTCTGACAGTGGAAAGCCAAATACCAATATAACAATAAAAGCTTAAGAAATCCATGCACATTAATAATAATAACAACACCCATAACCCAGCTTCTCCTAACCTGAACCTATCAGAAGCAAGGGGAACCTTGAAAGCAAGTGTTGTGTTGGTAAAGTTGGGAATTCATATCAGTGTACCCTATGCACATAAAAAAGTTAAAACTCTGTTTCACAGGTGACACTGAGCTGGGTGGATGTGAGCAGGCACCCGAAATGTTAAAATCTGTTTTTGCCCACTCTCCAGTAATACCTCCACCCTCCAGCTCTTCAGAGAGTATACCAAAGCATTGCTGAGAGACATAATCTCTCTTTAACATATCCTGTGTTTGCCCCAGGGCCTGCTGCCAGTTGGACATGCCCCAAACACACATATTAGGTGTCAAGGAGGCATAATGACCAACTCAACTGACTTCTTGCAATGCGGAGGAATAGCAACTCTACTCTGAACCCTTTCTGAATGATTAAACTCCTCACTATGTCTTGGAGCTCCTCTCAGGAAGTTCATTTCTCCTCTTCACTACCTATAGCTTGTGGCCATAGGTCAGGCTAGGAATACAGATTGATTGTTGAACTGACAGCTTTATTGTCACACTCATTTTGCAGGCAAATAATAGTTGACAAAAAAGTGTATTGACCTTCAAGTGTTTCTTTTCATTTATTCAGTTTATTCCTTATCCAACCATATTACTTTCCCTAATTTAGTTTGCTTTCATCTTAATAATCACTCTTAATAATAGAGCTACATTTTTGGTTGTGTTTTAACCATTTAGCCATATTCTAAACAAGCACATATTCCTACATGTATTTCAGAATTGCAGTTCTACTTTCATAAGTTTTCCGGTGTGAGTATTTTTTATAGGTGACAATTTCATGAACAGAGATAACCTAACCTTATCCCTATTGTCACCCTAATTTGGAATTAAAGTGACTAACTTAGCTACTACTCTAACATTATTCCAGATGTTGAAAACATAATGGCACATGTAAGTTTACAGTTGCAGAAATGAAGGCAGAAGTTTAAAACTGTTTTTATTGCATTGAAAATTCAACAAGACTTTACATAGTGAAGAGGACAAAAAATTCATGCCAACAACCTGCATAAGCGGGTTAGTGTTAATATGTCATGCATAAGAAACCAGGTCATTCTAAATATACAATTAAGAAAAACAATAACAACATAGTGTGATTAATAATTGCAGAATGCAAATGTTGAGAATTAGAAAACAGAACATTCAGATTTTGTGCAAATTCCACAATACAGCAGTTTCCAGTATTGTCTAATTTTATTAAAAATATATATTTCACATTGCATATCAGTTTAGCCTAACTGTCCAAAATTTCAAATAAATACTGTACACAGTAGACAGCTCACAGTTCAGCCAGGTCAAGTATTTTTAAACCTGTGGGTTGAGACCTCTTAAGAGGTAGGGTGAATCTGTGTTTGTGCAATTATGCAATTTGTACTGCAATAATCATGTTTACGTGATATTTTATCCTCGTACCCTTATTATCTTGTCATGCCTGTAACCTTTTCATTTAAAAAAAAGTTGGTGAACCTCTGGTTGTTTATGTACAATGTATTAACAGACAATAGCAACTGCCAAAAACAATAATCCATGTACAAAATTGTGAAGTAATGATGACACTCTGCATGGCTCATGCAATTACTGTATAAACCAAAACTAAAAAAGATGAAAACATATGCTGTGAAGCAGACTGACCATACTGTAACCCATCAGATCAAATGGAATCAAACTGACCTTTTAGTTTGTCAAAATTGGATTAACTGTATGTGGTAGATAATTAGGTAATTTACAGTGTAATTAAATAATGTGTAGTATCACTCAATAATATTTGTGTCGGTCATGCATAGAGCTCAGTGACAATGTTTGAATAGCTTTTAAGGTGAGACCTACTTTCTGTCCATCTAGGACGGTAGTCTGCTTACTGTATGTTAAGTCTGTGACACAGTGACAGGATCAGTATGTCTCACGCATGGACAATACACAACAGACAATACATTTACTTTACAAAGTGTACAAAGACTAATCAAACAACAACGAAACTCTTTAAAAAAAAAGGGAAGATACGTCTTTTAAATATTCAAAATAAAGACCTGAACCGAAGCAGGCATAACATGCTTATTGTATTGGTAGTCCACTGATGTGCCTGGTTTGTATGTAATGCACAGCATGCATGATAGTTTAAAACCTTTAGCCATTTGTAATGACTGAATTTTCGATTAATTACATGACATATGTATTATCATATCTGTTAACTAGCTAAAACAGCAAGCTAGTTAAAAAATAAAAATCTTAGTAACAACAATCAGTTTTCAAAAGTTGGATTTAACAAAATTCAACAGATGTTACAGTTACAGCTGTTGGTCCAGTCTGTTTACCACAAGCAGCCAGTCCATAATCTATAGCTAAGCTAGCTACAGGCAGAATGGGTTTTCTGTGTTTACTCTTAAACAATTACATCACCACTAAAACTTGTTTTGCATATAGTCAAAATGCAGTGTAATGCTACTCCAATAAACGATCGTGATAATCAGATATATTAATGCCACATCAGCAACTTATTGATGAGATTCCACGGTCAGTCAATTAAAGTTTTTGGTATGCCATTTAAATAAATTAAAGCATTTTCTCCTCTGATAAAAGGCACGTTATTTAAAGCATTCGACATTTACATTTTTTGATCCCTGAAGAGTTTTTTTTTCTTATCAAATCAGTATTGCATTTCTGCTTATTTACAAACTGGATAGTAACATGTGTAGAAATGATCAGTTTAGCTTACAAAAATTTTGCGTATCAAATATTTTCTAGAAATTGAGAGGAAATAATAAAAAAAAAAAAGCACGAGATTTGAAAGGTTGAAATTCAACTATTTGAGTGCATCGCAATTAATGCAAAAACACTAAAACACATGAGAGAGCAGACAGATTATCTGGGGAAGAAAAACAATTGTAGTCAACACTGTTGGTATCTCTCCAGATGCTTAATTATTTCTCAGAACATTTTATAAGTGTGTAATCTGTACAAATCTCCAGTTTAATAAGAAATTACAAGATGTAAACTCTAAGCCCATCCATTACCCTCCCACCCCTTAATTATGCTACAAAAGTCTATCACATTCAAACTAATTTAAATAAGTCAAGATAAGAAATATTACGTATAAAATTGTTATCTTTTCCCCATTGCTATAATCACAGACACCACTATTACAAACATCATGCCTAACTACAAAAAACCTGAAACCAGTTATTTTTCTATTATTTATATCTCATGATTCTTGTTATTTCAAGGATTATTGAGCTGTTGATCTGTCATTCACAGCTTTAGATTGGTTCCAGCTTAAAAACCACAAACCAGGATATACTATTGCTCTTGCTCACAACAATCCTCTACTTGTTTCCCAAACAATTTCACGATATTAATTAAAAACGCTAATGAAAAAAGAGATTTATTGCTCAGCTCTCCATCCATGCATGTGCAGGCTGTTAAAAAGAGCACATCAGCCTTAGACTCAGAAGTGTCTTGTCGTGTGAGCAAACTGATGCAGAATGAGAGAGATTGCTTGACTGTGATAATAATTAGTGAGAGAATGTGTGAAGAATAAAGAGACAGAGGACTGTTGTCACTTAGAACACTAGGAGTTTGCAGTATGTTGTGCACACACTGAGAAAATGGGATAAATGACAAATGGAGATAGAAAGCAACTGTCAAACAGGGCATAATGGTTGTAAACATTCATCCAGCTGCCATTACAGTGTGTGCTGCTGCTCATTCTGCTTTAAACTAAATGAATGTATGCTAAAATATTTCACTTATTTTCCAATATATTTACCTGATGTAGACACTGAGATTGTCAGCAATACTACACTGGACTGGTTTTCTGAGTAGTCAAACAGGATATCTGGTTCAGCTGATTAAAAATGCCTTTTACACTAACATTGACTGTGTTAGTCTATTGATTGCCCCTCTTCTAATCTTGCATTTCTCTTACTTGTCTTTCTCATATGGCGTTTGCATGACACAGCCAGTCCCAGCTTTAAGCCACCATTCATACTTCAAAATAAGGATTACACAACCGCTTCTTTTCACCTGACACTGAGGAGCTATATTGGTTTTATCAGCAGGAGAAATTAATGGCATTGCACATAGTCATCTATGAAGACATATTTAAAACAGCTACCTTTAAGATCCTTTTTGTTGACTATGCTACAACATGGAAATTGTAGAAGAGCTGATTTTATTTGTGTTATTGTGTCAAGTTGAGTTGTGTTGATGCGCTTCATCAAATGCAGCAGACACTGCTTACAGTGTCAGCAAAAGGGTGATTGTTGGGTAGGCTGATACTAGAATGGCTTTTTGCTACACGAAGCCACACGGAGAGCTGAGTTTTAAGAATATTTCAATTTGCATCTAACTTTGCTAATGCTAACGTTGCATTCCCCTGCCCCAAAGCAAAAACTTTATTTATAAACTGTTTGCATCCTGAGGCAAAATCTATATTACATTCAATTAATTATTATTAATTCTTATAATATTTTTTAATAAAACAGAAAAAGGCCTCTGGATTAGCTAAAAAATATTGGCTGCTTTTTAATTGACCAAGCAAACTAGCCATTTGGTTGGGCAGCTAGTATTTGGTTTGACGCCAAATGAAAAATCGGATTTGGAACATTTTAGGGAGCAGCTTTCCCAAATTTTGTTGTCCCAGCAATTGTGCTCGCAGTGAGTGCAAAGTTAACTGTTTTCTAGTATAAACAAGATTTCAAGGTTGTCAAAGTTACCCTGACCCAAACCATTTTTGCCCACTGGCTTTACAACAGCTTAGTAATGTGTCTACAGCTCGTAATCTTGTGCAGGGATTTGCTCCTGATGAAAACTTTTCAGGCACAAATTACATACCTGGTGTAAACTACTAAGAAAGTACTAATGCTGTTTATTACGTTCACTGGAAGAGAATTTATTGCAATTTAAAGAACCTCACTGTCTAAGCATCATATGCATGTATAAGCCCTAGTGTGTGTTAAATTTGTTTCAATACATTCATCAGTCAAGTCTCTGAAATATCTCTCTACAATATGAACTGCATATCGCTGTCATTCGTTTGACACTAATTACTGGAGAGGTGTGGAAGTGAACACCTTTATACTTTACACATTGTAGACTGGTGATACTATGGAATGGCAGCTCCAATGTCTTTGAGCATTGTTTTTTCAATAGATGGATTTCCTATGACCTTAAACCTTTTTCAGGACTATAGTATGATGGGTAAGATTGGTTAGAAGATCAGCTGTCTTCTGCTATTTGCATTGAATTAAACGTAATTAATTTAATATGTGCCAGTTACGTCCGTTTCAGCAAAAATCCTCATTCACTTGAATAATTCTCAAACAAGTCCAAACCAAAGCACACAAGCCTCTCAGCTGACTGGATGGCCCTGAGGATGAGAGACAGAGACTGGTTTGTGGCGCTATGGAAAAGTACTTCTTTGTTTGCGGAGTTGTGTTTGATTGTTTTGCTGGGGATGTTGCAAGGCAGGACAGCTTCCCGAGGGAACTTCAAGATGGAAAACTGAGGAGTCTTTCCTGGAAGGCTGTATAACAGATTCCTGTTGAAGGACATAAAGACAAGAGAGTGTCACTAAATACCTCAGGCATGTTTTAAAATGTATATATCTAACATCCATACTAATCCGTTTTAGGACCCCCAGGCCTACCTAGTCTAAAGCTCAGTGGTAGGCAATAACTTTGGGAACTTTGGTGCAGACAACCATATTCACTGAGTAAAATCAGTCACTTCTTTTTCACCGATTCAGGAAGACAACAGAAACATCATCATTCACCATCAGTGGTTAATTAAACATAAAAAGTTACAGGGGTTGCTGAGCTCATTCTCTATAGAGGAGCAGCTGCTGTGCATTTATGCATTTAACATGAAAACGTGTGCATGAATAGTCATGTGATGTCTTCAGGTGTTTCGTGGAGAATACGTCTGAAATGCTGCTATGTGCACCTTTAGTTTATCTGAAGTTCATAATAGCAGAATGTAGCACGACAATTAAATTAAATTAATGATTACATTTATCCAGTATGGCAGTTTTATTTGTGAAGCACATTTCATATTTGTATTTTTCAAAATGCAAAAAGAAATAATAATAATAATAATAAAAGCAACAGCCATCAAAACAATAACCTTTTTACAACAAATTAAAAACTGAAAAAGACAGGCAGTAAAGAGGCGTTCTGTGAGTTAGTCTTTCAAGTAATTCCGGTTTAGTTAAAGGCATAAAATCTTTTTAACATGGATATAAATTTGGTAAAAGTGGGAGCAAGCCCATTAAAACTCCAAATGCTAGTTACATACATAATGTAATGTTCTATTAATTCTAGATGACTGCCAGATGTACTGGATTTTTAACATCTGTGTTGAACAGTAACAATGAAATGGAGCACTCATTGTGCTGACAGCTCATATTTTTTTCATATATTTTCATAAGTCTTTATAGGGACACACAGAGTAAGCATAACAACATAATGCTGTTTTATACTTGGCACAGGGTTTTTGTTTGATTTGTTGGGAAAGATGAAAGAGATTCCCTGGGAACAGAAAAGCTCATTGCCATCAACACCACAGAGCTCTACCTCATGTGATATCGTGGATCTGTGTATAACAAGATGGCACTTTAGGCCGGCCCATTTTGCATGTCATGTTTTTGCATTTTTGCGAGAAGTCACGACAATAACAGAATTATCAAATGTTTTGTCACATGAAATTCATTAGCGTACTATAAAACACAAACTACTGTCCTTAAACAATTGCATTCTGTTTCTCTTTGTGGTTTTGTCACATTTGCTACTCGCTGCCACACACCTAAAGCAAAGCATGTATATAAATAGAGATGAGCCTTTGAGGGTAGCAGAATACTCATTTGTAGGTCAGAAAGGCAGTGACTGCGGAGTGTTGCGCTCTTCGGGGCTCAAGTACATTGATTTCTCTTAAAGTGGCTGAACTGCCAGTCTCAAAAAGTAAATGGAGTGATTCTTCATGTGTTAAGACACAGGTCGTGGGCTGCAGGGTGTGAAGGAGCATTGACCTTCAGTACACAATTTAGACTCAAAGTCAGAGTGCTATGAAGATTCTGTATCTGCTCTACAACATAAAACCAGTATATGACACCAGTGACGCTTCTCCTCCAAGTTAAGGATGGTTAGGTGCAATATTTACAAAGGTACAATAGGGTCATAGAATATATGATACATGGAATATCAAAATGTAAAATTTGGCTCCTGCATGTGAGACACTTTGATATATTCCAAAAATCATTGGAATAGGTGTCAAAATATTTGGCAGTGACTTAGTATGAAAATCTGGCCAGCAATAACTACTCTACTACTAAACGAAACTTTCCTTTCAAGTCAATTACAACCTCCCTCATACTTTTTTGTTTTGTCTTGTTATTTGGAAGCATTCTCTAATGCAGTGATAGAAGTTAAATTGGCAGAGAAGTTAAAATAATTGTGCATATGATGTGTGGAGATTGCCCTGCACTAACTTTAGATTTGTGTCCTGAGTTTGATGTTTTCATATCAACATTGCAGCTTTATGTCTATATGAGCTGCAGGCCTTTTCTTTTCAATGTACTGTACCCCATGAGTGGCTGTGGAAGGGAGGGAGTGGAAAAGTCTTTCCTCCTCTGGAGGAATTCGAGATCTGAGTGATTCATATAATCCTTAATCACAGTTAGTACCGCCACCTCCTTTCGTGTCCCAGTGATATTACAGTCAAAATAAACTTGAAAGCCAACATCAATCAGTTACAGTTCCACCCAAGTCTGATGCTTTGCAGTTGGTTTAATCGGCCAGTCAGTGGGGGTTACTGCATGTAGTGCCTCAGATAAATTCTACTTAAATCAACACCTGGGGTATAAATGTAACATGAGTGAATGGAAAGAGGAAGTTTGACTGGACTCGACTGATGTTTCACTCTTACCATTGCCGATGCTGTTAGAAGGAGTCAAAGTTGTCCTACGCATAACTCAACACGTTTTCCCAAAGTTAAAAGATCATGTAAGGGTTTTACCTGGAATGTACTTTTTGGCTTAAACATTGAAAGCATCTTAAGTCTGCTCACAGCATTAAAAGGATATTCCAAGTGTTGACTCGTTCATCATGTTCATTAGTAAAGATAAATACTCTCCCAAAAGCTCTTAACGTTCAATTTCACCAGCATAGCAAATGTATATCTGACAAACATTTTTCCGCCCAGTTTTTAGTTCACATCACACTTATGTTATGTTCTATGTTGTTATTTTAATGAGACCTTTCCAGTTGTTTTGCCTCCGAGTTCCTCCACATTGGTATTATGATTAGTTTTATTTCAATTAATGTATGATATTGTAAGCACAGCACATTGCCACAGGTGTATAAAATCAAGCACCTACAGTAGCCATACAGTTTTACTTACAAACATTTGAGAAACTGTGAGCTGTTCTAAAAAGCTCATTACCCTCTTAGATAGTCTTTGATCAACTGTAAGTGATGACACATCCAAGGAGGCAGAAGTGTTTGACAGAGTGGGCTTGCCCAGTTCTGAGGGACATTGGCGTAAAATTTGCCACCACTCTACTGAATCAGAGTTCCAAACCACAGCACAAAGGCCGTAAACTGGGAGCTTTATGGCATGGACTATCATGGCTGAGCTACTGGATTTTCGTACTTCTGAAAGCCCTGAAAAAAAGAATTGGTTTTAGAAACTATCAGCTGATGGATTCCCAGAACTATATACGTAAAGACAGAAACTGGGAAAGATGAAGTGTCCTATCTGTCAAGTATCTCCAAAAACTGTTTCTGGATGTATCTACAGAACTGGGTTTGGTTTAGTGGTCACCAGATATTGATTACAATTAGATTTTTTTTCTATTGTCTGTAGTATTTTATATTGTAACTATATAACACTCACAGACAGTATAAAAGATGCATGTAGCTATGTGACATCATCCACTATAGTCCTGTCTTAAGGCCTTGAGTTTAGGACTGTCTTTACAAAAAATGGATGTAATGAAGAACGGTGGGTCTGACTGTAAATTTATTGGCTATTCAGAATCAGAATCAGAATACTTTATTAATCCCGAAGGAAATTAGGACTTTTGATCAACAATAAATTAGCCAGATAACTCCCATTAGTGAAAATGGTAAATGGCCTGTATTTGTATAGCGCTTTACTCGTCCCTAAGGACCCCAAAGCGCTTTGCACATCCAGTCATCCACCCATTCACACACTGGTGATGGCAAGCTACATTGTAGCCACAGCCACCCTGGGGCGCACTGACAGAGGCGAGGCTGCCGGACACTGGCGCCACCGGGCCCTCTGACCACCACCAGTAGGCAACGGGTGAAGTGTCTTGCCCAAGGACACAATGACCGAGACTGTTGGAGCCGGGGCTCGAACCAGCAACCTTCCGATTACAAGACGAACTGCCAACTCTTGAGCCACAATCGAAAAATAGCATAACAAAACAGACTTAATTATTTATTTAGGATAACCAAAATAGGTGACTGAGCCCATAAACTGAGCAGGAAAGTGTTCACAGAGGAGACGTCAGAAAGCTGTGTTTCTCTAGACTTGGGACTGAAAGTCTTTTTGCAGCATCTTGCGGCCTTCATATGGAATACACGTTTTTAGTCTCCTATGTACTGGTTTAATTTTTCAGATCCAGAAGCTACGTCCATGTGTCCATGATCACAATCTGCCCTCAGGCTGTGTTGCAATAATAATACAGCAAAACCAGGAAATTCCAAAAGGCTCAATCCCAAATTTCTTTAATTCAGATTTTTTTTTAAATTTCTTCAAAAAAAGACATTTTCTCCTTTTAATTTTGAGACTATCAGCTGTACTGTACATGTTGGTTTTCCTCACGTTACGGTGATCCTTGTAGTAATTTAATCAGAAGAGGTGGAATCATTTTCTCTACAACCCAAGCAAAAAAACATCACACCAAATATAAAGTTCAGAATTTTTGCATGTGCGGTTGCAAGAGACAAACACACACTTTGAGTTTAAGGCTGCAGGACTTCACAGGCCTCCCAGTGATAGTGTGCGCACATTTGTGGTTATTATCACTTCTGTTAACAAGGAGCCGGGTGTCATTATCTTGCATGTTAATGGAAAAGACATTACAAGTGCTTTAAGAATAAACAACAAAGTGAACAGAATGAACAGAGTTAACCTGTGCATCAATTCTCCAGCACTTTAGTACGTAAGTATTTTCATAATGCAGCTATTGTAGACGTTATTGACTTAAGGTTCATGGTTTAAGATTGTCCTCATTTTATGATTATAGGAGACGTTTTTTCTTATACAGGAGTTTGTGTAAAACACACACACACACACACACACACACACACACACACACACACACACACACACACACACACAAATTGCAATACAGATTAGAGAGAAAAGAGTATCACAAGAAGCACAGTTAAAGTGTTATCCAAAGTGCTTTTCCGTGAGCATAGTAAAAGCAATAGAGTGAATGACAGATGGACTCCATTAGTTTATCCATGTAAGTCTCTCAAAAGCCAAATCTAAAGTCACTATTGCAAATTA